TGTATGTATGTATGCATGTATGTATGTATGTATGTATGTATGTATGTATGCATTTATGTATGTTTGTATGCATGCATGCATTCATGCATGTATGTATGTATGTATGCATGCATTCATGCATGTATGTATGTATGTATGCATGCATGTATGTATGTATGTATGTATGTATGTATGTATGTATGCGTGCCTGTATGTTCAGACATCCGTGTCTGTGCATACGCAGATGCAATCGCATGGCCTGGACGCTCGGTTTCCGAGAACATTGTTGCTGATTGTGTGCACAGCTTCCGAGAACCAGAGATTCCAGACATCGAGCAGAGAGCCATGCTGAAACCAAAGCTCTAAACGCTATCTCAACTATTTACGTCCTTAACGATCCAAAAATCTAAGCCCCAATTGCCCCTAAGCCCGCTGGCAATGAAAGGCCTTCCAATCCGATCTGGCCCGTGTCGTGGAGTGCCTGTTGCCTTCCTTGCCGGGAAAGTTTGTGCTCGTCGACAGCAGCTGGGGACCAGGCGCGGGGGATCATGGATGGGGGTTCCAAAGGTTCAGGATTTGGGGTTTTGGATTTCAAGGTCGATTCCAAGCTGTATGAGATGGGATGAGGGGTTTAGGTCTTGGTTGAGGGTCGATGGTTTAAGTTGCGTCGACGCACTGGAGCAAAGAGTTTGCAGCTTCGAGTCACGAGTCCAAGGAACCAGCAGCTGTCATCTAGAAGCCTGAATAATCAGGTAATACTGTACTATGTACCCTAAACCCTAAACCCTTATGTAATGCTTGTCCCTACGGTTCCTGATCGTATTTCTTGTCTAGTGTACCCCGAGACCGCATTCTATTGAGGCCACCGCAGCAGTCAGTTCGACTTTGAGCCCCGCTGTCTATTTCCCGTGTTTCTGGGTCCTCGTAACAGAACTTGACAAACACAAAGCGTCAAGTCATGTCATTGTCGTTGCTGTTACTTGTGCTGGTGGTCTTGCTGATGTTTTGGCACACGTGCAAAGGTTTCTGAAAAAATACCAAATGGCAAAAGCGAACGTCTGACTCCCTGTAGGCACCTCGCTTCTATGGAAGTTTAAGAAGCACTTGCTGGGTGCCATGATCATCAACGCGCACCTTTTCAAGGCCCAAGATCAGCAAGAGCAATCGGATCTGTATGTAGATATGTGCATATGCAGACATGTGCAGACATATTTATTATGTGGTAATTTCTTATGTTATCGTGACTTCTTGTGTTTGTACCATTTCGTATCATGTTCTTGTACACCTATACGTATAGAAAACACTGTTGTTTTGGTGCAGTGGTTTCTGTACACCAAGCTCGGTTAAAGGGTTCGTTGCGCTGCTGTGTGGGAGACATTCACCCGAATTCGGGTGCTGCCCTCCTTTTACAAGATTTTTCAATATGAAACCGAGTAAACCTCTCGCTTACCGTTGCTCGTACCTTCACAAGAATGGGAGAACTCCTCGCTGAGTGAGAACTCCACGTTCAGAAACGAAATCGTGAAACGGCTCCTGGGCAAAGTGGAGTTCCGACAGTCCAGGTGCCACATACAAACTCGTGTATCGGTCCTCTTTTTCCTCATGCGAAGTAGCTCCCTATCTTTGCAAAGAAGCATTATAAACCAAATCAGTGCCTCTAGCCTTGATCCCTTGAAGCCGCGGAGGGCTCACCTTTCCCGTATGACCCGAACCAATGACAGCTTCCCAAACAGGAGCCATTGACAGAGGGATCGGTATCTCCTTAGAGGATACGAGGCAGCTTCAGTTAAACATGATCGAAGTCTTCAAGTCGCGTAGACTTGCTCAGTCAACTGACATCTCGGGGGCCCAGGGTTGAACCAAGCACTTCAATGTCCAAAAGTTACAAAATCATCCTGATGAATTTCACCGAGCAGTAACACTCCAAAGCCGAAAAACCTGGAATTCTTGGCTGGGTGATGAGACAGAACAGAACCTCCGAAGTGGTGAATCTCTCCAACTGTCGAGCCTTACCGTGTTTCACTCGATAATTGCCAAACGCTCCAAGCCTCACCAATCCACACATACGGGGGATCACGTGGGGGAGGGGGGGCTCGAACTATGTTTTGCTTTATATATTTTCTTGTTTGAGTTTGAGCGTCTCAGACATGTGTATGTATGCTATTTTCTTTCTTAATGTCATTGTCGTCGCAGTATCAGCACATGAGACAAAGACATATACATACACACACATGCACATCCAAGCGCATCCAAGCATACATAATCTCAAGCGTACATACATA